ACAAGCATCACCACGAGCAACACAAGCATCACCATGAGCAACGCAAGCATCACCACAAGCAACACAAGCATCACCACGAGCAAGACAAGCATCACCACGAGCAAGACAAGCATCACCATGAGCAACGCAAGCATCATCATGAGCAACACAAGCATCACCATGAGCAACACAAGCATCACCATGAGCAACACAAGCATCACCACGAGTACGACAAGTATATCGCCATGAGCAACACAATTAAGCATCACCAATGCAAGACAAGCATCGTGATGAGACGGGAACGCCATTTAAAGTGGTTACTCGAGCTACTTGAAAATCTAACCATTTGTAGATGTAATTACAAAGGTAGCACTTTCTCCTTACTCAATACCCTGAGTGTTGGTCCGGCCGGGACTGAAACCAAGACCTGCCGCACGAAAGTCCGATCCTCATCTAATTGAGCCAACCGGTTGGCGGGCTAAAGTAGAAACCAGTATTCACGCGCAATTTATTCACCMAATCGAATAAGAGAACATCAAAGATTTTCGTCCATACCCTATTGTTACTGAGTTCCGGTCCATACCACATGAGCGTGTATTTACTGCTTGTTTGGTTGTTATTGTTCTTGACTAAGATCTCATAGGTCAGAGGGGTGTCCTCTTCGACCCATGCATTACACTTCACAGAGAATTTCGTGGCTAGTTCCTCTCCTTCTTCGGGAGTGATGATACAATGGCCATTTATTGGTGGGGAATTGGTTGTGAAATYGTACTCGGCAAAAGCACTTGGTCCTGCATCAGTAAGTTTTTACGTAGTTAATGGAGCGGAATGGTTTGCAAACTCTATAGAACAAAGCTATTGTTTTGCGTTTGATGTTGAACCGTACCATCACGTGATACTGACCGTGCACAATGAACCAAAGCAAATATGGCTAAAAATACTCATTCCCTTATTATTTTCATGTATGAACATTTTGAAAATGAAAACTTTCATACGATGACCACAAACCATGCGGATAAATATTTCCGCGCAAATACAGTTAAGTTACTAGATGATAAATAAGAAAGCATGAAAAAACACAATTTCTTTTTCAATAAACAATTAATATTAATCATATAGGATAAATTAACAAATAATAACTATTTAAGAACGTTTTTTTTTAGGGAGACTGAAAAACTTCTATATTCCGTAATACTGTGAACAAACGAAGCAACTTTTCCTTCTCTGTGCACGGTCAACGTCATATATCAATGGATAAAGTCGAACAAAAACCTAGAACAATAGGTTTCCCAACCATTCCTCTCAATCCTTTTACAGATTCCACCGACAAWGGTTTTGGTCTTCTCCAAGCAACGGAGAGCTTTCAAATTAGGCGATGCAACATTCACAATTAATAATTATTTTTCTCTTCTAGATGGATTTTTCCGAAAAAACGTCGAATTAACACAGGAAGCCCACTTACCTCCTTTTATCTTAACCTGAACTTTTAGTATATACGTAGAGTCTTGTTCAAGTGCACCTTCCTTGACAACAACAAACTTCAAATGATTGTCTGTCAGGGTTTGATCTGGCCAAAGCTTTAACCCCTGAGGTTTTCCTTGAACGAGTTTGTAAGCAGTCCAAGAGTACTCAAGCATTGTGTCATTTCGACAGTCTGTGCAGTAGGCTTGTATTGCGAATCGCTCGTCTGAAGTCATCTTACCTCCACAATTATATACACATCTAAAGCAAAAAAATTCATAACAAATTATATAATAGATTTTCACGAACGCACGCCCTGATTGGCTGAAAAGCTATGTTTTATCAGAGTATAGAAACATAGATATGACGTCAAAACCATGTTTTCTATACAAAATTAAACATARAAAATACGTCACAGGAATTCGGCTTTTCAATTTCAAGCATTTTCACATTTTAAATTTAAAATATTCATTAATTTTTATCAAGAATTATGTCTTTCCTCTAAAAAAGGAAAATACTTCGTTTTGAAGCACATTTGATTGGTACATTTCGACGAGTAAAGCTTTCTTTCGTTTGTGCGGCGACTATACAATGACCTTATTTCGCTAAACTAGAAGCTTTTTGCTGGACCGTGATGGTGTTAGAGAAGTCAAAAAATAATTTAAACTTTTTTTCATAGTCTAACAAGAATGAACAAATCTATCGTAAGAAACTTAAGCTTACTTTACAAACTACCATCGTCAATTTTACGCTAATTTACGGTATTTTTTTTACCGTAATTTGCTTTCCAATAACCCGAGACTACGATTACAAAATACTACCTACACTACTATAGTTCAGGGTCAACTAAAAAAACAAGTTTTCCAAGTACTGCACTGCTAGCTTTCTTCCAATTTTGAAGATCAAAATCGGCTCCTCGTYTCTCGGCTCCTTGGTATGGCATTCAAAGTGTTCATAAGCTGGTTTTCTTGAGTGTTTGTACAGGTTAAATGTCCATTTAACGATCTGAACTTTGAAAACGTTTTTCAAACTCTTCAGTATTTGAATTTTCATTTCTTCTAGCAGTTAAATGCTTGGTTTTTTTTTGTTTTTTTTTTGTTTTGTTTTTGCTTTTTTGCTAAAATTTACAAGCAATTCTCCTTTCTTGTTGAACAAATGCGATAAACCAGTTGTATGCCAGCCTGTACAGATCTGTCATTACCTGTCAAAACTGGACCAATCAGATAGCCATAGGTCGCGTTTGTAGCCAATCATCGCATAGATCAAATTTGTTTGCGTGAGTTTGACGACAGACGCGCGATCTTTTTGTAAACAAATCTTTTTTTTAAATATCTATACACACTCTATGGTGATTTTTATAATCCCCCACGCACTAACAACAACACAATTTTTTTTTTTATTTTACGTTTTTTTTTTTCTCGTAAAAATCTATTGCCTACGGCTCGTGATTTCTATAACTTTTTKMGTGTCCTACAGCTCCAGTCGTGTTTTATCAGAGAACAGAACATAGCTAAGCCTGATCTATTTGTTAAATAGAAACTGATTAAAAAAAAGTAATTTAAACTAAAATATCCGCTCACCGTACAGACTGCGGGCTCAGATCCCTCAKGAGCGAACAAAAACAACCGAACAAGAACAGTCAACTAGTCAGGTTTGAAAGCGTAAAATTTTAAAATTTCAAGAAGCTGAGAGTCAAAGAATGCTAAAAGGACGAGCCAGAAGAAGTTACATTTTTTCTACAAAGGTATTTAAGAGTTTATGTGAATAATTCAAGCTAAAAATTAGGCTCAACCTTGGTTTGTTTAAAGATRTTGAATCAACATTTTCAGTGACCCTTGCAGTTGAACTCGCCTTGTAGTATCGAAGAGATATTTAAGACTTAATTCTTAGCTTTTGAATAATGTTTTGACACGGGTATTCTACTTYTTTTACGATAAATATGGCTCTAAAGAGTTGTCATTAACTAGAATGATTTCTGTATTTATTTTGCTCCAAACATTATTTTACTCAGTAACACCTTGACTGATTTATGTCCCTGTGTGAATGAGATTTYCAACAGTCTTTTATCGAACCGAGAGCTGAAAGACTAAAAAAAATCCTATGGGCTGATTGACGTTAAGAAATAGTTCAAAAAGTTCGAGGAGAACTAAGAAAGTATTTAATTCTGTTTGTTATAAAACGGTTGAAAGCCGCACAAAACAGAAGCAAGACGAAGTTTACACAATTTTACAGTGACAAAATTTCAGTGAACTTGAAGCTCCTTCCAGTATTGCATCCTTTTGATAGTGAAGTCTAAATTCAAAATTTCTAGTTAGAAAGTAATAAAAAAAAAACATTTCATAAATTRTCCTGTTTATATAAGCCTCAGACATGACCGTGATTCTTTGGAGAAAACAAAATTGAATGGACCCTTATTAAAATTATCGTGAATAAGATGCTAACATGAAAATACAAACAAAAAGCCACAAATTCCATCGAGAGAAAGCGTGATTTCTTTTGTGTTTTAGTCTCTGATTCGCGATACTTTTGAAAAGAATCAATTCCTGCATTATTTAGAAATGATCTATATTATTATTATTGTTATTATTACAACAAATACTTTGAAATAGTGCCTTACTTGATGTTAATATCTGGTGGATTCCCCTGCACAATTTTGATTCTCTGTGCAGTAGYTACAGCCCGCTTCTTGTCTTCAGGCGTGACTGCCACGCTAAATTCATACTCAACCGATTCTAAGAGACTTCTGGCGCGAATATTAAACACAGGCTCGGTGCTTTCCACTTTGCCATTTCCTCTTCCAAAGCACCCTTCTTCTCCAATCCAGTCATTTTTGATTGGCTTACAGTACCATTCATATTTAAGATTGACGCCAGAATCTAGAGGATCATGGGATTTCGAAGCGTCAAGGACGATTTTCTTCTCCCATCCACGTGACCTAGCACTTCCGCCTTCAATCTTTGCCTCCACTAACGGAGTGGATATTTTGACGTACTGCTGGGCTGTGTTGGTTAAGGGAACCTCGGACAGTGTGACTGTAAGCTGTATCAGGTAGTAGCCTGGCTTTAGTGTGTGCTTKGGAACGGTGATGGAGGACTGGTTCTGAATCACGTGACCTGGTAGACTAGGTAAGGAATGGTTTGTAATTTCATTATTAATTGATATTTGTATTAATTTTATTTTTGTCAGAACGAACGAACGAACGAACGAACGAACGAACGAACGAACGAACGAACGAATGAATGAATGAATGAATGAATGAACGAACGAATGAATGAACACTGCAATAAATAGAAGTATTGAATAGATAGAAGCTATGAATGAAAAGAATAAATAAAATGAATGGAATAAATAATTGAATGAATGGGATGAATTCAATCACACTTRATGATTAAATAAATGAATGATTTTATGAATGTCATCTGTAATTTTTTTAATGCAATACTTTTTATCAACCAACCAACCAATACTATTTCCCCTTGAGTATTATTACCTGATCCTTCGCTCTTCGTCTGGCGGCATAGACGAATTATGCACATAATATGTATCAGCTCTGAACAAAGACCATTGAAACATCGCTTTAACTTTATCACTGCACCAGAAATTTACACGCGAATTGATTCTGAATCCTCTATCAAACTTGAACGGCAAAGCCTTTACGAGTGTTTTCCCGCCACCGAAAAGCTCCACATTTGGGATGGAACAATTAAGGTCAGTTATCACTACAGTTGTTCGCGCTGTTTTGTGGGATGCCTCGTTCCAGGCTGTCACCCTTGCGTCGAATGCAAACTTTGATTGGTGTTTATAAGTGTACTGTACAATCGACGCATAGTATGTTTCAAAATCGAATGGAAGGTGRATATTTCGACTGAAGTTTTTCAAAGCCCCTTTAGCAGAACCTCGTGTTGGAAAAGGGACAGTGATATTGATGTTTTCTCCTGTGTCAAGAACAAATTCGGTTTCGTTTCCTGGTTGCGCACAGAATACAWGAAAGGTTACATTTTCTCYTGATTTTACCGGACTGTTCGACACCAAAAAGAGCCCAACAACCGACCTTAATACTATAACATTAGATGAATATTCTTCACTGCTTATATCATTGTACACACGCACRCGAACAGTGTAGTTGCCTGGTAACGGATAGACGTGGTTGATTGTTGCTATGGTTTCGAGTTTGCTTTCTGTGTTATCTCCAAAATACCATTTGTACTTGGCACACGTGCCGTGGATATGTCGGGATTGAAAGAATACCGGGTACTCCAGTGGTAAAATATTTCGATCTTTCCCTCGTCCGTAAAGCCCTGGGGTAGAGCTTTGGTCGGAGTGGAGAGCTTCCAATGTTAAGGTCTCTACTTTCTGAATGATTGATACACTTGCTACTAATCGAACATAGCTTGCTTCGTTAGAGATGACCAAAGTCGCAATATAGCATCCTGGTCGTTTGTAGGAGTAYGTAAAATTAAATTTACTGTGCGAGGAATCCATTTCTATCTTTTCTGAAGTAGAATTATCTCCAAATTCGAAGCGGTAGCTGGCATTAGAAGGCGGTTCATATGTCTGGTTGCGTTTAAATTGGAAATTAACGCTATTCTCAGGCCATTGTAAAGCATATCGAGGGATTATTGAGAAACCAGCCACAGGGTTCATGATCGACATAGTCGACGATACACTTGTATTCATACTGAATCGATTCCATACCTTCACACTGATGACATAAACACCAGGAGTACTAAATCTGTGCTCAAAACGGATATATCTATTGTTCGAAAGGCTCCTAATAGTCTTAGTCTCCCCAGCCTCTCCGTAGGACCAGACCGAGGTGGCATGAGAACCAGCYTGCATGGTCAAGAAGGCCATGGCGGGATAGTTGACCAGGACATAGGGATTCGGAAGAATCTKAGGGTTTTGGATCATTTGAATCAGGGTTATTGTTAGGGAGATGGTTTGCTCGTCTGTCACGGCGTTSATAGCCCGAACGGTGATTACGTATGTTCCAGGTTCCTCGAAATATTCCGGTTTGAGGGTGGCCCGTTTCTCAAGGTTCTGAATCGGATTCAATATCTTAGCATTCCTTGAAATTTYCGCAGAGCAAGTGACGAACGAACCTTTTAACCATGTCCAGTATATTTCMAAGCTTTGGCCAAATGCTCTTTCAATCCCCGAAACTGACTCGAGGTCTGTRAAATTCAACCCTTCAATAGGCTCTTCGACTTTAGCGATGGCTGTTGCAGATGCTGCACCCAAGCCATTTTCATTTTCACACCTTATAGACAGTTTAAAATGGCCTGTCGTTTGATACTCGTGAAAGATTGGTGGCCCTAGTTGACTATATTTAAGCTCACGGGGTGAGTTGGCTGAGTTGTCTCCAAAATTAAGTGTGCAGTTGAAGATCGCTCCTTCTTCCCAAGTTATTTTAATCGTAGTCTCTTCTCTATATTTGGTCGGTGCTGCGGAAATCTTGAGTCCCTGAACAGGTTTCGGTGTTATGGGTTGTAAGGCTTCGAACGACGATGCCAAAACAGACGACGTGCTTAACAGGTTACTTGCTGTAATATTTGGAGTAAAAGTTCCAGGGTATCTATACACATGGGCTGCTACGTTATTATTTAACGGAACTGGATCCGATCCATCGCCGAAGTCAAAAATGTACCTCACCTCGGTTCCGTGTGTGATAGTTGCGGTGATGCTTACTTCCTCGTATATGCCAACTTTAAGTGTACCTTGGGATTGTATTACAAGACCTTTGATTGGTTCCTGGACAACTGCTTCAAAAGTACAAGTTGGCTGAGTAATGATGTTTGAAGCTTTTACCGTCACCTGATATCGCTGTGCATKCAAGTACGTATGGTTTAAAGAAATCGGTACACCCAAGAGTGGAGATTTTAGATTAACTTCCGGTGATCCATCACCGTAATCGACCAAATACTCAACATCACTTCCGTTTGATATTTTCCAAAAAATTCCTACTTGTTTGCCAAGGGCAACTACTTTATCGAACGTCCCACAAGTAAGATCTTTTATTTTATACCGTACTGAAATTTGCTTAGTTAGGGTAACTTGACTTATTTGGTTAAAAGCTGTAGCCCTCATGGTGTATTGAGTTTTCAGGAAGTAAGTCTTCATAACTGATGTACTGGTAGTAAAAACATCTCCACTGCCGTCGCCAAAAGTGACATTGTATATGACGTCACCTCCCTCTAAAATGTCAAACCTGACTTCAAACTGTTCACCAATYGCAACACAGGTGGGAACTATSACGTCAAAGTCTTTGATTGCTTTCTGCGCATAAAAGKTTATGGAGTGGCTCAGATTGCTGACAAGATTGAATGCAGTCACGTTGACTACGACGTTTCCYTCTTTGACAAATGTTTGAGACCTCGAAACGGAAACTTTCCCTGAGATCAARTTGCCTTTATCGTGATAGACTTGGTCATTGATCTTCCATGTGAATGATAAGTCAGTTCCTTGTTCGGCTTGACTTCTCAGCAATTTCGTTTTGTCAACAGCCACAAACATTTTGCCATCACAACTGCCATCAGCATCGACGTCTATGCTTAGGTTTTTCACCGCATCTTGTATCGTAAGATTGTAAAAGATGATCTCCTTGCTGATCGTATTTGTCGCTTCTAAAACAACCTGCCTTTTACCTGCAGTAAATGTTCTATTGAATTCCAGTCGTGGATCATCGTATTTATGAACAAAGTATCCATCGCTGAAGTTAACTGCATAAGTCACGTTATTGCCAGCTCCTTTTAAGATCTCGAATCTAACGGTCGTTTTCGAAGGAGCAGGATTTGGAGTCGCGATGATAGAAATATTGGATATTTTTTCTTCGACTAGGAATTCTCTGGTGCAAGTAAGGATGGATATAGGATTTGATATGTTTAGAGCTACGGTGTAGGTGCCAGGGGTTTGGAAGAAAAAGGAAAAGTTTTTAGAGTCGCAGACTGCCAGGAAACTTGTGGTGTCTCCTTGGATCGCCCAACTGAAAGTCAAGTTGTTTCCCGTGTCGTACTCGGCAACAAATGTCTTATTATCAAAGAGCTCTACACCATCAAATGGCTTCAGGCATCGCCCAGTCAAAGGCTCCATGACAAAAATACTGGAACTAGTTTTAATAACGACGGGACCAACGATTTCGCAAGTTATGTTATGTATTCCTCCCTTGGCAAAGGTGTGTTGTACTAACGTGGCACCCACCCCCGAAAAATTCGATCCATCTCCATAATCCCAAGCATATTTCTGGTTTGGGGCGAAGTTACCTGTCAGATTGCAATTTAATGCCACAGGAACGTTTAAAGGTGTCCATTGTGGAACGTTCAGTGATAATGGATTCACGATAACTATGGTAAATGACTTGGTCAGGGTAAAGGCTTGGTTGCTCGCAATAAGGGTAATGTTAGTCACTCCAGGTTTGCTGAACACGTGTGATGTTTCATTACTATTCACAAAAACTGCACTGTGATTGTTTTCAATGATCCACTTGTACCTCACTAAGGATCCAGTAACYACTGTTGCTAATAAACTGGTTTGTAATCCTTGATAAACCGGTTTGCTAGGTTCAGATAAGTTTACGTTCAAGCCTGTTATTTCCCCACCTACTAACACATTAACGGTGGTGTTAACCGAGCTTATTCTATTGAAAGCCTCGACGTATAACTCATGTACTCCCTCGTGTGGGAAACTCAGGTTAACCCTGTGTACAAATGAGAGTCCTCCTAGATTTTGGTTGTTGACGTACGTATGAAGTCTCTCTCCGCTTGAAGATGAATTTTTAAAAATCGCCGTAACGTTTGTAGCTGAAGAAATGTTTAGAGTAATTTCAACTGGAAGGTTCTTCCTCGTTCCAAAGTATTCAAATCCAACGGCGTAAACAACAGATATAAAGGTCACTTGCTTTTGTACGCCAACAGCTTTACTCCTTTCAACAGGAAGTGACGTCACATTATTCGTCGTGTTCACGTAATAGAACACCACTCCTGTCTGGTTTATCGAGTGACGTGTTATGAATGTACTTCCTTCGGCGGACACTGCTCTTAACAAATATTTCACAGATATTTCTGTGTAGGGGTCACTAACTGTGAAGTTATAACCTGTCTTTATTTGGCCTGCAAGAATGGCGGTATATCTTCGTACTTTTTCCGATCCGTTTTGGTGTCCAATGAGYCCCACTCCTTCAATTGCCCATCCCAAGATATCCCCCTTTTGAACTTTGCAGGCGTTGTTTYCAGGTATAACAAATAAATTATATCCCTTTTGGATCGAAATACTCATAAACTCACACACCACTGTATGATTCACTGAGGAATTCGATGGCTGGTAGAAAGCTGAATGAAAGAAGCTGCTGCTGCATGTTGAAGTACTCTGACATTCGGAGCTTGATATGTTTAGTACTTGAGACACAGGGCATTGGCCTTTGGAGTCCAGGGCACATTTGTCCAACATACATGTTGCATTGTTAAGGCAGTAGTGTTGACTACTTGCAGCACACACGGGTCGGGCAACCTGTAGCCGAGAAAGGGAGGGTAATTCAATTTTATGTGACATCAAGTAAGCCTAGGTCACTCCTTGGTGGAAAAGTTATTCACAAACATCATATATATTAGTGATAATATGAGATTAGTGAGAACTCTTATATAAAATAAAATAAAAAAATATAAAAGCTTTATCGAGTTAGCACTTGACAGTATATTCAACTGACTAACTCGTGGTTCTTTTTAAAGTCTCTAGTTGATTAGGGACGGCGGGACCGCTATAAATGTGGTCATCCGAGCCACGTGAAGGTCTAAACATTTGCAGATGTAATTACAAAGGCAGCACCTTCTCATTTGTTTTAAGACCCTGAGTGTTGGTCCGGCCGAGGCTTGAACCACGACCTAGCTCCCGCACAATGGACTGACGCTCAACTGAGATAACCGAGTGGCTTTTAGTATATGATAAAAACTCTGAGAGAAAAGTTGATARGTCGAACTATCAACCTATAGCCAAGAAAAAATAACTTTGAGCAAATTTAATTTTATTTGGTATAAGAGTGGTATGAGGCTAGGCCATTGCAAGCTCACCGTTCGTCTAGCTTCGCCGCGGTGCAAAGGTACCTTTCAAGATGGCACAGGGAACTGTGAAGGGGACTATTTATACTGAATATTCACAAAGAGGGCGTCATTTATGGGTGTCCAAAGGGCGAAAATTTGTTTGACCTAAGACAAAAGGTTCTTTATTTTCAAAAAAATATGTTGATGGTGATGATACAAGTACTGATAATATATTGTTCTGCCTCAGACGGATAGTGAAAATATATTTTTTTGAAAATAAAGAACCTTTTGTCTTAGATCAAACAAATTTTCAAGGGGACAAGGGTTTAATTCCACAAACAACTAAGAAAAGCTATGGTAAATAAATATAGCACTATGTGGTTGATCCACGACAGCAATAGATGATGATGATGATAATGTATATGCACAGAAGGGGCTCTTTGCAAATAGGTTGCTATCAATAGACGTCACTTCCRGTAAAAGCTCTTTTTTTGATGGCTTGTAGAATCCTGGAGGTTGTTTTGATCTCTCGTTTTCTGGTTTTATGTCGTGAAAATAGTCAGATGCAATAGTTTGAGGACTTATTTTGATATGTTATGACTTAGCATCCGCTAGTTCCCCCCCAGTCAACCGCTTGTTTGCCCCCCAGTCAACTCCAAAAAGTCACGTGATTGATAGTAAGCAACCGTAAATCATTAAATCATTAACTAAGGGGTTTGGGAACCATGACTGATTATAAATAATATTCTGGTTTGATAACTTACAAAGATCGTGATTTTGCCTGCAGTATGACCATAGATTTCAAGACCAAGAACCATTGCATCACGYGTGAACATCGAAGAAGGAAGCAAGAAAACTCCTGAGGAGTACATTGCGAATATGTTTGGTACAATCCACTGTGGAACGGATGGACCAACGCCAAGGTAAGCTGGGTCTGTTGAAGTAATTTAGAAGATTCAGAAGAAATTATGTCTCGGTTTCAATTGGTTTCCTGTAGAAAACGCAATTACTTTATTGTTATTTCTTAGGCCCTGGCTAAACGAGGAAACATGTTTCCCGCGCGCATGTTCCCCGATGATTCCAAGTTTAGGCACATGCGGAACATTGCTACGTGCAACAAATTTTGCTTCCAAGACACAAAAATGTTTCTGTTGTGCGGCAGAAACATTTCATGCTTCCAAGACGCATGGAAACAATGTTTCCCAATGTTTCCTCGTTTAGCCACGAAAGTCAACATTCTAAAAGTTCGTTACGTAGCAACGCTAGCTCTATCTTGAAAGTGCGCATGCGCTAACCGATGTTTCCTGACAGTTTTGCCACATTTGGAAACATTTAAGAAAACACGTTTTTGGAAACATGTTTCCTCGTTTAGCCAGGGCCTTAGCACAAATATTTTACTGARTCGTACTGACTCATACCCTTCTCTTCTCTCCTCCCTTGTCCCGGCCCCCACCCCCTCCCCAAAGCGCCGCTATGAAGGCTAGCACATTATGATACCTCATAAACACACAAAAATGCAACTGATCGTTCTCGGATTGAAAAGGGCAGATTACTTATTGCAAAAAATATCAAAATAATTATAAATTTGAGATTTAACGCGCGCGCTGATTGGCTGGCTACCGTGTTAGTATATCAGAGGGCAGAGACGCTTGCGCAAAGTCCTTCAAAGATATTTTATAAAAGTTATATAAAACGCCTGCTTATGTCTCTTTACTGTGAGGTAAACACTCTTGGAGCTGCAGTAGAGCACTCAAAAAGAATAGAATATATGAAAAGAACTTTAATGTTAGTCGTATCAAGAAAGAGTGATGGAAAACCGAGAATTGAAAGTAAAAGATAGGGAAGACACATTGTTTCTAAATCACGGATCGTGTATTTAATTTCATATACAGTCAACCCTTGTTACAGCTGACACCCTCGCGTCACTTCATGTCCTTAATAGCGAGTGTCCGCAATAGCGAAAATCATTTACGGTCATTTCTTTGTCAGTATTTTTATCGGGGATTTTTCTCCTGTCCGTAAAAGCAAGGTGTCCGTAATATCAGGGTGTCCCCAAGGCGAGAGTTGAYTGTCGGGTTTTGGTGGTTTCATTGTAGTGCAGTGACCGAAAGAATTAATCATGAAATTAGGCCCTATTTTGTCAAATTTTCAACGAAACCTTTCAGTTCAATTCAAAAAGTTTTATTAAAACTCGCTTCTGTATCCTATACATAGAATTTAAAAAATTCAATTATACAATTGAATATACAAACATTTAAGAAAAGAAAAAAACACACTTTACAAAGTACATGTTTATGCTATCTTCAGGATATGCATTCTGGCATGTAAACCAATTTTCAACTAATTGCAATGTCCTTAAAGTAAACAACACAAGATGTCATGACTTCTTGAGAATGAACACATCTGTGCACATTTAAAACGACCGTTTTCACCACAAAAATAATGATTTCCTTTAGGAGATACCTTTTTATTACAGCAGGAATCCAAATGTTTATATTTTAAATGATTTTGGTCTTCTTTTTTTTTTTTCGTTTTTACTTTTGTAAAGAAAATACCGTGTTCATTTAGTCATTCATTTAGAGCAGCTTACAATTTTCAGCTACTGATGAATTTTTGTTTTCGTTTTCGATAATTTTTTTCTTTCTTTTGGATGAACGTATTTAAAAAGGTCGATTGTCAAGTTGGTTGCTTCATTTTTAATGGTTTTCTGGGTGATAATTATAGAAACTTTAAAATGATGTGGGAGGTGAAAATAAATTAAGGTAGTGGATTAATGGATGACGCATCAGCTTTTCTAATGACAATGTATTACTGCTAACGCTTATTATTTTGACTTTTTGACAGTCTAAAAAGACAGCTTTTTCATTTTCTCGAGTGCGCGAAGTCTACGATAAAGGAAGTCGCAAATTTTATAAATTTTTTATAGTGTTTAAAAAAGATTGGGCGAGACGAGGTTACAATTATGATAACTTTAAACCAACCAATAGAAACTCGATAACACTACAAGTACATCGACGAGCTTTAATCTAGCTTCCATTATTGCGACATCTTAATGGCTGTGAAGATGGCTCATTTATTTTGGGAACGACTTTTGAATATCGTTAAATCGTTAAACTAACTCCTTTTTGTTTTTAACAATCAAGAGAATTATTGGTCCACAGGGAGTTGAAAGAATTTAACGATTGATCGGAAACTCTTTTTATAGACACGTTTAACTTTCTATTTTTTTCTTTCTTTTTCTTTTTCTTTTTAGTTTCAAGTACGAACTCTTAGGATTTAACGTCAATATTTTTAACCTCGATACTTTTTATTTAAAGTGGTGACCGAGTTAAGTTAGGAATATGTTAGGAACTCTTAGGATTTAACGTCAATATTTTTAACCTCGATACTTTTTATTTAAAGTGGTGACCGAGTTAAGTTAGGAATATGTATGAACCTTAATCTTGAACAGTACTCCTGTATACAGGGCTTTTCTCGAACATTAAACTCAAAAGTCGAAGAGGAAATATAACACTTAAAGTCTTGCGTCAAAGGATATGGTGTAGGCCAGGAACAAATGGTTGTCGTTCATGTCTCTTTGACTAGTAATCCTGATAATAGATACTCGAGTTTGAAGTGATTGATGCAAGGCAAGAACGGAGTTAATGACTAAGCTCTTTTTGAATCTGAAGTGATGTAGGCTTGGAATGAATTTAAGGTCGAGTTTGAAGTGATTGATGCAAGGCAAGAAAGGAGTTAATGACTTGACTTTTTTTGGATCTGAAGTGATGTATAGTAGGCTAGAATGAATTTAGAGTGGAAGGGAAACGAAGGGAAGTGAAACGAAGGGAAAGGAAAAAGGGAAGGGAAGGGAAAGGAAGAGAAGGCAGATTGGAATGAATTTAGAATGGAAAGGAAGAGAAATGAGCAGAGGGGTGGATATGAGAAATGATAAAGCATTCTGATCATAGCGAAGAAAGATGTAGCACAAAACTATAGATGTCGCCTTGCTTGAGCTTTGAAGAGAAATCTCAAGCAGCAATATAATAAAGTAAAAATTTTTTAGAGAGATTGCCGACCAAAAAACTGAAATTCGAAWATAGTTGTTCAAAAAAGAAGGATTAGACGACTTCAAGCTGAATAAAAAGTAAAACAGAAATAAAAAAAATATGTGTTGGAAGGAAGAATTAGAAATAGAAAACTAAATTATTGTATTAGTAATTTTTTATATAGGGCTAGCTACGTCTCTAACAGATAAGTATTATTATTTTCAAATTTGTTTCCTTAGAGTCGTAAATTATGAAGTTAAATGATGAATAGAATTAATATAAGCAATATAAACGTTTTMTTTTTCAGCTTTGGTTAATATCTTAAATAAATTTCTTTAGTGATAGTCAACTCGAAAATCTGCAGTGCTTTCAACTTGTATCGATTTTATCAGAATATTAAGTATTAGAGTTTATTAATCATTAATTATGCTCCCCGTTAGAGCAAAAACTCGATCTAAGATAGATATTAAAATATCCATCCTGAAGTCTAGAATAGTTATCGTAGATAGATATGTTTTACACCGTAGTGAAAATAGGAACTGACGTTTCGGACGTTAGTCCTTCGTCGGAGTCAATAGAAAGTAAGAGTGAGACTGTTTTCTCTCTCCTCTACTATATAAACATCTCTCTCACTCTTACTTTCTATTGACTTCGACGAAGGACTAACGTCCGAAACGTCAGTTCCTATTTTCACTACGGTGTAAAACTTATCTATCTACGATAACTGTTTCATTAGAAACACCGACGCAGTCCACGCTAGTGTTTACTAGCCATCATCTACATGAAGTCTAGAAWCTTCATGTAATATTTAACGCGCAATGGTTACTTTTTCATGACATCTGGCAGAATATCTCTGGCGAAATAGCGCTAATTCCACTGCAGCCATTAATAAAGTAATATAGTATCACATCCCGACTGTTGTGCGAGGCGTCTTTGAATAGCTTTTTAGAAAAATTTTTTCTAGAAGCTCTAAAGAAATTGATCTACCAATTGGTTGGAAAGGAAGCATTTAGTGGTCGGGTCAGRAATAACGCCGTTGGAGATGAAAAACAACTTTGAATAGGGCTTARTATTTAGAAATGTATTTCCATCTCGGCCACGATAAGAAAATTAATAGGAATCTACTTGTTTGTTTTGAATTCATGTTGAATTTTGGAATAACGGTAAAACAGTATAAACGATAAACGATGAAATGAGTTAATTATTTGATAACGAAAAATATGTACAATACAAAAAAATTCTTTTTCAAGTTTTTCCCGTAGTGGCGGGTGGGCCGGATTGCCAATTCATCCGGGTGATTTTCGTTTTTGAAATTCAATTCTCATTGTTTTCTTTCTTTTTAATCTTTTCTTTTTCTTTCTTTTTTTGATCAAAATAATTCTATTGATTTTAACTGTCTTACTTATATTATTAATTTACTTTATCGTTTTAGTTTCCTAAAATTCGTAAGGCAACTATGTTTGTTCGGGCTTTGATGAGTTTAAATTCAATTCTTATAAAAAGTTTTTTCATTTTCCCATTTGATTTTTTCTCCTTTTTGTGTAAATTGATGGCGCCCATTTTAGCTATATTACTCATTTATTTGTTTTTCTTCAAGGAACAAAACTACAATATGAAAAGTGTTTTTAGTAGCTCCCTAAAATTCGCAACAAAGATAAGGTATTATTTGTTCAGCTTTGATGAAACTTTCGTCTTTCTATTCAATACTTGAATAACAACAGATGTCAAAACCACTTATCCCATAAATCATATTTGTTAATACTTTCCTTGTATTCCACTGACAATTTATTYTCATCGTAATCACTACTGGTTCTTAACTTTTCATGTTTTTATGAGACCCGCTGTTTACGTAATCCTCTAATGATCATGTTGTAAATATTGAAGAAAWTTTTTTAAGAGCTAGTATCGATTAAGATTTTGGGATATCAAGAGGTTTTGAGTGTAGTGAGTAAAGCGTAATTAGCTGATGAAATAGAAACGAGGAGATAAGAATTAATTAGAAATAGGAGGAGAGAAAAAGTGGAAATAATTGGAATTTCGAGGAGTTTGGTTTAAAGAGAGAAAGAAATAATGGGTTAAATAGTTAATTGTTTTGCTAAAGTTTTTTTWAAAAATGAAATACATCAAAGTTTTTCATATATTGAGGAAGTTCCCCTTAAAGTAACCCGGGGCCTTCCAGGGGTTTCAGCGCAATCCAGTCCTATTTTCCTACTAGTCCATAGTTTCATTTGTTGCCGGCAATATTAAATATTCCGTGATTGATGGATACTTATAAACCTTTGTATCTGAAGCTCTAGGGGACGAGGAAATTGGTTTCTTCCTAAGTTTCATTGCTTAAAATGAAGATGAGTTTCGAAAGGTTTTTTCCTGCCTATGTAACTTGACGTACTTCACGATAAGCGGTATCCGGACTGGACTTAAGTTAAAATTTTCGATTTATGACTGTTCATTGACAAACTACAAATTTTGGAAAGAAAAAAAAWTGAAATGTTTACTTTAGAGAGATGTTCATATCGACTGAAACGGAAAGACTACGTTTTGAAATTTGCTTTCTATTCACCCAATTAAAACTACTTATCTTACCCCAGTCGACTAGTTATTTTATTCTGTTAGTTGAATCTTAATATACAGAAAAACACTAATATTCTATTTGTTATATTATATATTTTTCGAGATGAATCATTACTAAAAGGAAAATAAATTCAGTGACTTGATCGCTTGTTGCAGAATCAAACATATACATAATGAGAATCAGTTATCGAATTAAATTTTTTTTTTTTTTTGTATATTTAGAGCTCAGAAGTAAGTCGGTCACATGAACTCAAATTTTGCTGATTTATGAAACTAAGAGAAAATCTTTTGTATTCAAAGTACCTTTTTCCAAAACATATTACTCCTTCGCTTTAACTTTATTTTTCATACTGGAAAATGCTATCAAATTTTGAGTACGTCTGTTCACATCGACAATCTACGCAAATTATTTCAAGTGGTTGTCATAGCAGCAAATACGACCCTAGGTAGTGTTGCTAGGCAACACATATAACCATCAACACGKAAAAAAATACAGAAAACGGAGCCAATTCATTCAGTATAAATGGGATWATAATATATTTTCATTCAAAAGAAAAGCTTAATTTTCTGAGCTTCATTACGGCTCTAAACAAACTAAAGCTATTGTTAATGATAAAAGGAAAAATATACTTAGAGAAATGGGATGGATTTGTTTCTTTATGTATTGGTCAAATGAAAAATCGAGTCGWCGGAAGTAGTTTCTGATATTACCTGCAATTGCAAACATTTCATTAAGGTCATTTTTTTCTTTAATTTTCTAACTGACTTACAATAGGTTCATAGCAAACTTAATTAGTTTTGTCCAGTTCTTTCCTCATGGCAGGATCTTTGCTATTTCTTATTTTTTGACAAGTTCGTTGACGTACGCATATGGCTGGCGGGTCTAACTGAATGTTAATTTCACGATGTCACTCCAGTTACCGGCGGCGGAAAGCGCTGTCGATGTGTTAAAATCGCGACTAATTCTTAAAGTAACAAAAGCATTTAGGAAACTAAATATTAGATAAAATGTAACTAGAAATTAATCCTTTGAATCTATGGAAAAAGCATTTAGGAAACTAAATATTAGATAAAATGTAACTTGAAATTAATCCTTTGGATCTATGGATTCAATCATGTTCACTTGTCGTACTTTAACTTTTCTTACCTGGCAAAGAGATGTTTCCCCATTGATCTCCTAAGCGCCAAGTAGCTTGCATTTTCGTCCCTTGATARACTTGAACACTACACTGAAACTCGGTTTGTGTTTTCACATAGTTTGGGCATGAGATATCCACATATTTTACCGTTGAAACAACCTCTACATCACTGATCACAGGCTTATAGACTCCMGATAAAGAATTTGTTAAAGTCAGCTTCTTTTTCCCCCATCGTGTCGGGATGAAAGTAAACGGCAAGTTTATACTTTTCGGAGTAGAAAAGCCCGATTCTTCACTGATATCAACTGAAAATCCAGGATCACTTATCGTTCCATTCGTGTAGACTGCAGTTATACTTCCTTCAACGAATAGCTCGAAGTACTTTGCGGTGTTAATCAGAGCAAAATGGCCGATAAATACCGTAGAATTGTACACTGTATTTGCTTCTTTTCCACCACAAATAGACCTGCTCTCTCCCGTGCAATTAACATTACAGCTACTAGCGGAGCCATACGCGCCGTAGGAGTTTCCACAAAGGCACAAGCTACCATTTTGTAGTGCTGCGTATTGAAAGAATAGCTGTCCACATAGTCGGACGCAGTGTTCTGGTTTCAGAAGTGAAGTATTGTAGTTACCGGCCAATACTGAAAACTCTCGATTTGAAAGTTTTTCAGCAAAGCAACCAAGTTTTAATGAATCTAAAAAAGATATATATCTGGTTATCAGGTTGTGAACATGACTAGCTGATGTTTTTGCTAGAATAGGGTGTTGAATTGGCATTGATTTTATCCGCAGTAGAGAATTATACTGCTTTTATTTATTWATTTTTTTCTGTGAAATTGTCGTATATGTTCGCGACAGAGTTTTGACGATGGAAATCGTTTTAGACAAGTTGCCTGGAGTTTTGTGCAGTCTGCCTTTACAAAAAGAAAAGGAAACAAGAAAAGAAAAGTAAAAAGCAAAAGGCAAACAAACACAACGAGGCCGAAACACACTGCAATTTAAACTAGTAAAAAATATCCAACACTTATCTACTTGTTTGGTAGGTTTAGAAACGATATCAGATATGGCTCTTATCACCTTAATATTCCTTTTAAAAGTTATACAAAAAAACAAAAAAAACAAAAAAAACCCAGAAAAACTATATCTAAGAAAATGCCCTAATACAATTTTTGCAGAAGTTTTTCAAGAAACATCTTTCGCACATTATTACCGTCGATTTTCCGTCGCTATAATATCTTGGGACACGAATATTTCAAGTGTTGGCAGCCAATTCAGATTGTTTCCTTTCCTTCACGTCGTTTGAGGATTCTAACACCTTTATCGGTAAATGCATAAGGCAGATTTATTTTTAAATCATAATGTTGAGGTAAAAATTACGAAGAAAATTGTTAATATTTCCAGAAAACTCGAACGACTTTTTAAAAGAGATTAAACTTGTTCATATTTTGCCTCTGAGGCAGAAAATGAAGTACGGGCGGTGAATGGATTACTCAAAAATATTTTTTTGCAAAATTTCTTTCTTCCAAAATTTGTTGGTATTTTTCCACTGAAAAAGAATTGCAAAATCGGTCATATAAATTATTTCTGCTTAAACAAAGCTGTATTTCTTTGAATTTAAAATTTCTTGGATGCTTTACTTTATTTTAATAAATGTCGTCGAAAAAGCGTATGCACATTCAGTATAAAACTTCAAAAATAAAGAATAATCAAAATATTTCTGTAAATTTTGACAATTTTGAGAAATCAGTGTGTTTGTTACTGGGTCTAAAGAGTTCTGGAGCCTGAAATTCGATGAAGTTTTTGAATTTTCGGTTTAACTTGGAGCAGGTGTACTCTTGCTACTGGCAATATGATCCGATAACACTTGCTTATTCTCACAAAGTTTTTCGTCCGTATAATTGATCATTTACTCACCAATTGTGTTGCATGATTCCGGTGTAGAGCAACTAGATTCCCTCAGTCCAAAAAGTAGGRAAAAAAGAGCGAAATTCCATGCACAATTCATCGTTATACCATCATTTCTTCTCAATGTAGTCTTCCCGTCCTTGGGGGTTGCTAAGAAGGCACGACTTGAAAACAGCAATCTAGATTAAAGATTCAAATGTTGAAACCATTCATGAATAAGCTGCTTATTAATTCGCTGACATTTGAGCTAAAACATCACGTTCGGAAGCARTGACGGAATTTTTTCCGCTCAGTAAAATCGCTGATGTAACTGTATGGTAACTAGTTTTAGTACGACTGTATGGTAACGAAGCTCAATGGACAGATGCAAATAATTACGAAGTCTGTTTAGTTATTCTCACTCACATGTCATTACCAGCTGCCCTAGAACTTTGTCAGACCAGAGAGCGACCTGATTGGCTTGATGTTTGGCCTCGAAAGCGCTACGCAAAGACACAAGTCAAGCCCTAAATGGACCACTGTTTTCCCAAATTGACTACCAGATCAATTCATCTTGCAGGGCTTTAGCCACAAATTTCTGATTGGTCCGGTTTTCGAGGGGTTTCGGTTTTTCTTACATTTTTTTTTCTTATATTTTTTCCCGAAAGTTGGTCCGGTTGAAACCGGAGCAACCGGCGTACCGGTGGCTACGGCCCTACCTTGCCTAGAAAGGTTCCCGGACCTCAACAGTATTTTTCTTGTGTCTTTGATAAACTTGATTTACGGACTTCAGTTCCGATCCCAGCGAAAGGAAGTGTCACTATTATCATTAACTTTTCAATATAAACTTTCTTTTTCACCTTGTACACACTCCAGTTTCGCTGACAACCGATATCTTTTTATCCGTAAATGTATCTGTTATCTATCTAATGTTCTGCATCTGTCTACTATATACTAGCTATTTCAAAAAAAGGTTGAATACTGCATACTGAATAGTGTATTCCAAGACCGAAGTGCATTGTGGGTCGTAGTGACATTGTCTAAAGTAGGATTAATAATAATTATTTGCTCTATTTTTAGTGTATTCCATCTGAAACAATATACTAACTACATGTAGAGAGTTAATTTCTGTATAGAGCGTTTTCACTCACGCGAGAAGGCAGCCATAAACAATAGAAACTTTCTGTACGGTATTTGCATAAAAATAGAGTTAAATTAATTCCCGGAGGACAGAAAATGTATTGTTTTGGTACCCCATAATGGCCACTTTGACGTCACGTGAAAACGCTCAATATTTACTTTTTATTTCAAATTAACGAGACCCACAATGCCCTTTGGTCTTGTAATGCACTATTCAGTATGCAGTATTCAATATTCAACTGTATATTTGAGTTGAAAATTACCCAGAATGCATCCGATATATTGATAATAATATTGATATTAAAGTTTGGTAAAATATATTCATAGGGTACTGTGTGAGCATTAGATATCTGGAAATCTGGCTGACTTTTGGTTGTGTATATATATATTTATTTATTTATTTATTTATTACATAGATATCGATGAAATACCAGGCCTAGGTTTTCTCTAGTGTCGAAAACTTGATATCTTTCACCAGTGGAAGATACCATATCTTTCACACGTGAAGATATCGCTGTTGAATCGGCTTGCTATTTTAATAAAGAATTTCTGAGCTTTTGTTTTATTTAAGTTTCTATATCTATATAATAAACAGAGCATTACATGGGAGCTTGGAGATACGAATTTTATCTTCTCGTGTTCAATTTAGATATCTCACTCGTTCGCTGCGAAGATAAAATTCGAACACTCGAAGATAAAATTCGTATCTACTCGCGCCTATCAGTGTAAYATCCTCTATATACACTTGATTGCAAAAAGGTTGTAGCATACATTTATACATATATCTAATGAGATGCAAGATATCAAATGAGATGCAGAACTTAAAAAGTAACTTATTTGGTCTTATTTATCTTCTATTGTATCAGAGACGTACGTATTGMRMAAAGTCAAGCTAAAAAAGTATTTTACACAAAATGTCGTGGCTAAGCAATCGTATTTAAGCATGTTTTACGTTCTGCATCTCATTAGGTATCTGTATAACGGTATGCTACAACCTTTCTGCAATCAAGTGTATACACCGAATCGCTAAAACTTTGACACTTTAACGATATATATACATATATGTTTATCCCCCTTTTTTCTTTTGTCTTACCTGGATTTTCAAGGAAAGACAATAGAAAAAAATGGGATATATATATATGTATATATATCGTTAAAGTGTCAAAGTTTTAGGGATTCGGTGCCTATATATTACATATACATATATATATGTATATACTGAAACAGATAAATTCTGCGCGCACAACGTATCACGCATGTATTCGTCTATTTAATATATATACAGTATRTGTATTGTGTCACGTATGAAATAATCTTACAAACCTTCAAGCAGAGAATCATAAAGAAACTTTTGTAAGATAGAACAATGGAATAGATTTATAGATCATACACCAACTTACTACAGCAAAATGAAAGAAAAAAAATCCATTTGAACTTGTAAAATTAGGAATTGTTTCTCCCATTCAACGGATATTCGGAAGACACATTCCTGTTTACGGTGTTCCACACCGCGACGTCTTCCACCGTACAATCTAAAAAATACTCGATTAGAAAAACTACTGCTATGATTAAGAGTTACTTTCAACCGAAACGGAAGCCGCGAATGAATTAAAAGCACTAAGAAAGTACTCTAACCTTTCCGATTTTGGCAAATTCTTGATCATATAATTCCTCTGGGTTTTCCCATCTCATTCTGAATATTGATTATTCTGTGTTTTTCACATCGGCAAAGTCGGCTAGGTTTAAGTCCTTCTGTGTGTAAGTTGACATTTTTTTTGTTTGTTTTAAGGAGACAAACTTAGCATTTTGGGATTAAGTGTCACCTGGTTATATATATTTGCGCAAATGAATTTAAGCGAACTAATAATGTTACCATGCAACACAGCAGAAATATTCTCAATTACAATCTTAAATCGTTTTWAAATTATAATCTCTCGAAAACCTARATTAAAGTTAAATGAATTTAGAATATGCTATAAGTCGATTTYAGACGCTTTTAGTTAAATATGCTTTGTTGTATATCGTAAATAAACATGGTTTGCAGGAAATTTAGTAACTTTGACAGAAACTAACGTTTGCCTTGTAGAAAGTGACATATAGATGCGACTTTGAATAAACAGTTTTCAAGCTTTAATTTATTAGCATACGAAAAGGAAAAGAAAAATGCCTTCTGTAAAATGCTTTTGGGTTATGAAAGTTTTCTAGCAAAGAAATTGAAAACTTTGAAATTTTATATCAAAAAGCAATTTCTAGCTGGCGTAATAATTAGGTTAACAGGTTTGGCGAAAAGCGCAAGCTCTAAAATTAGTAGCGACTGTTTTAACATMTGCCAGAAATGGAGATTTGCCTCTGGACTTAGGAAAAAAATGTTTCAGTAAGTTTATTAAACAACCCCAAATGAACAGAATGCTTAGAAGGCCTCAGAGTAACACGGTTGTCATGTATGGTGATATTAAATATCGGATGATCCCAAAAAAGGCATTTTTTAGGATTAGGATTATTATTATATTATATTATTATTATTATTATTATTA